CCAGCTCCCCTCACTCCCCCATGCAAGCACTGTCTGGAGCCACTCTGTGCCTCCTCCCACTGCCTGCCACCCCACAAAGCTGCGATACTATGGCTCCCTCCAAGAGCCTGCAGCATTCCTCATCCATCGGCTCCATCTCTGTCTGCCTCTGCCTGTCATTGATGAGGCCTCATGGGCTGAACACAAGCCTGGTTTTCAGTAATTGCTGTTCCCAGAACTCAGCAGGCTAAAGGGGGTGGAAGGGAGATAAACATCAGAGTTCAACATCCAGACAAACACAGCAGAGCACACACAATAAATACATCCGCCCCCGAATGCAAATACATCAGAAGAGATTCCTTCCCCAGTGCTCAGTGCGGAGCAGGCTCAGGCAGGAGCGCAGCAGGATGAGGTGAGTGCAGACGCAGGGACCTCCCCAGCTCCTCTGGGCACTGCAGGCCTTAGAAGGCAGGAATGTGATCTTCATCTGGTTGAGCTGTTGCTACAGTGTGATCCACTGATGCCACCTGGTTTCTGCCATGGTCACGCATGAAGATTTCAGCTAGCACTGAGATACCCGATTTGTACCAAGAGTAGCAGTCTTGGTATGTGGCTTTTTGGGTATGGTCTGAGTTGATGCTCACTCTCTCCATTAATCTCTGTTCCTTTGACACAGGCTGATTGTCTTGCTAGCCGTGCTTTACAGTGCAGTGAGCAGCAGCATTGTGCTGCAGAAAATGTATGGGAGGATCACGTCCCCCAGCTTCCCAAATGCCTACCCAAATCACAAGGAGAGAATCTGGAATATTACTGTCCCCAAGGGATATTCTGTCCGCATCTACTTCACCCATTTCAACCTGGAGTTGTCCTACCTGTGTGAATACGATTATGTGAAGGTATGTGTAGGGCAGGGTAATACGTGGCAGGCTAAGTTGTTAAAAACTGTGTACATATGATCCTGAACACACAACTGCTGTAAGCGTTTGATTCTGGTCTGCTGGTAAAGTTCAGGCTCAGTGGATTTCTAAATGATGTGTTTATTGGGGCCCACGGGACCAGGAAGTAGAACTGGTTGTCATGTTGGAACATCTCAAACTTCAGTTGATCATGCGTGGAAAATTCTGATGTTCCCCTCTTGTGAAGCAAAAGGTTTGAAATTTTGCCCAAAACAACATTTGAGCTTCATCTTGCTGAATTTACAGTGTGTGTTTTAAATTACCAAGTAGTGCTTTGCACAGAGTATGATAGGAGACTGTGAAAGTGTAAGTGATAGTCTAAACAAGATACTGTCCGCTTGTCTAGACGTGCGCTTACAACGCTTGCCATGAAGTGTTTGCTAGCTGATACGAGACAACCTCAGGAAAAGAAACGAAGATACTGCTTTCAGGAAGCGTTTGGGTGGTCAGCAGTGTCCCTGAGAGGTTTTTACACCGTGTTCTAGCGTGTGCTCTGGGCTGGGTGGCCCTGTCGCTGATTTGAGGCCGTGCCACCTCTGCTCTCATTTTGTTGTTTGCGTGGGCCTGATGTACATTAAAGAGGGAGCTGTTTTCACAGGGAGTTTGCAAAACCAGCGCATCAGCAGTACTTTTGAATCTGCTGGAAACAAATCAGGCAGCCTTGTTCCCATTTAGGAAGATGGTTTTATATGGCAAGTTGCTCCCGTTCCCCAGATCTGTGGTGTTCTTCATGTAATTACCTTTGGGCAGGACAGAGCACACATTTCTGGTAGGTCTGTAGTACACAGTTTTATCATTGCCATGTAGAACATGAACCTCACGTATCGGAACACTTCACTTGTATTACAAACACAAGATAAATGACGAGCTGGAGCTGTGATAAGTGAATCACAGAGCAAGTGAGTCACTCATTCAGAGAGACCTTTCACTATATATTTGAATTCGTCAGTATATGAAACCTGTTTACCCCAGTTGTCTCTGGCTTTATCAAGATCTTGCTGTCACCGGGAGTGCAAAGTTAACAAAAGCATTATGAACAAAACATGGTGCTGGTAGCTCAGGCTGGCACCACAGCTTTATGTGGGGCTCGAAAAGGAAAAAGACAAACAAAATTATGGGCTTAAGTCACAGAGAATAGGGGAAACCTTCTCTTACCTGTCTCTGGATCTGGATTGACCTCTGGAAGCACCTTTTGAGAGCATCTAAGCCTTCTTTTTCACACGTTTTCCAAGCCATGGCAGCAGGTTGAGAAGAGCAAAGCTCTGTGCTCCTCTGGTACATTTGTCTCTGTGTTTTGCAGCTGAGCTCTGGTGGGAGGACCTTGGCTACGCTGTGTGGGAAGGATAGTACAGACACAGAAGAGGCTCCGGGCAACAAGATGTACATCTCCAATGACAACAACCTCATGGTAGTGTTTCGGTCTGACTACTCCAATGAGAAACCGTTCACAGGCTTTGAGGCCTTTTACGCTGCTGAAGGTAAGAGACCAGCGTAGAGCGGCTCAGAGCAAGACAAAGTGTTGTTGAAGGGTGTTGGTTGCCTAATTCTGTGCTTCACCCATTAGATATCGATGAGTGCAAACAGCTGTTTGATGGGGAACCCCTCTGCAATCACCACTGTCACAACTATGTGGGGGGCTACTATTGCAGCTGTCGGATTGGCTACACACTGCATGAAAACAAGAGGACATGCACAGGTGAGCTCTTGCTAGATCAGGAGACACTTCCCTACCTACAACATCCACTTAAATCCAGTCCTGGTGCTAGCAGGGAGATGAAATCTGTGGGGTTTTGGTTTTGTTTTCAGTATTTCCTATGTGCCTGCTGCAGCTGGAAGAAGGTACAGGGGGCTAAGTCAGGGCTGTGAGCAGAGGCCCTGGTTTGCAGAGTGGCTGTGAGCTAATTGCTGTCGTTAGGGCCAGCAATATTGTGTGGAGTAAAATGATGCACTGGCTTTGGTTACTCCTTAGGCAGCATCCAACTGGGTTCAGCTTTAGACAGAATGACTGGAGAAGCAAGAAACTTGTCTTATGCTCCCCACTGCAGACACTTCCAGTCTTCATGGCTTCATCAGGAGATTCAAACTCCTCATATCTCCAGTGTATTGGAACAGACCTGTTCATTCAACCTCCCCTTCCTAAAGTGATGGCTTTTAGCACAAGTGTATGGATTTACTTACGCTATAAAACGTATGCCTGGTCTTAATGTGAAGGTGCAAAATGAATAGGTGTGAACTAGCAGACTAACAGCTTTGCGTTGACCATTCATGTGTGCACACTTACGCCCCCCCTCCTTGAACACAGCGCTAGCTGGAGGGGCTTATTAGCAATATTGAAAGGCTGGGCTACCCTGATGGATGGAGACGTGGGCATTGGGAATTACTGGTCATGTTTCAGAGCCCTTTGGATGCAAGAGCTGAAGGCGCTTCAGCCACTGGGCTGCAAAGCAAAGGTCTCTGTGGATTGCCTTCATGACATGAAGGCAGAAGCTGCCCCTTTGCTTTTTTGGGCTCCTGTCTGAGTAGGCCAATATTGACAGGCTCTTTTTTTCTCCTTTATTTTCCAGCATGAGATAATTAAGCTTCTCCTGGTGTAGGCAGAGATGGAGACAGATGTGCTGGGAAGAGCTGGCCTGCCCTCCCTCCTGACCTGCCCGTTGCAGTCTGCCCAAGGGCTGCAGGCATCTCTTGCCTGGTGACTTGTTTGTCTTGGTTCCTTGCCCTTCAGACCTGCCTCCTGCAGACAATAAAGAGGCTGTTCCTTGTTGAAAGCTGATGGCAGTCTCTGGGGCATTCATTTTCTTGCATTTCCCAAGTGTCACTGTGGAAGGAAAAAAGGTAGATAAGACAGGAGCTGATAAGAGAGAAGCCATTGTGAAAGGCCCCTGAGCATCACAGCTACCTGAAGACACTCGAATTTCTTGTCCAGCTCTTCTTGCTTGACCTTCTTAAACTGCAACATGACCAGAACTGCACATTTCTTCCCTAATGTTCCTTTTAGATATGCTCTTGTCTGCACTCTGGCTTGTAGATTAAAACTGTTTATATTCAGAGCACATTCACTCTTCGGAAATGTTTGAATTTTTTTTTTAATCCAAATTTTGTGACTTAACTCAGTGGAGGAAACATGGTGATGATTGCAAGAGGTTAACAAGTCAGAGCTGAGCAGTTGCAGGTGAATGCTGAAGATAAAACAAGGCTTTGTTTGAAAAGCTCAGGGATTGAGGTGGGTCAGTTGATCAGCATTTCCATCTTTCTGCAGGTTAGCAGGAGCTGCTTTTAGTTGTAATTTATCAGGCTCAGTTTCTCCAACCCCATCTCTGCTCTCTAGTGCCTGGAGTAAACGGGGGGAGAAACCCTTTGCCAAGTACAGAGTCTTTTAGGTGGGACACTTATTTAATTGCAGGCCACTGCATTTGCAGACTTCTGTGTTATCTTGGGCAAGTCACTTGATACCAGCTTTGAACATCCACCTGCACACTGAGAGGTAACATCACTGCCTCGACTTCCAGGGAAGATGCTCAGTAAGTGTCAGAGACAGTAGATGCTGCAGAGAACTGCTCAGGGATAGAGGCTTCTGTATTTAATCTTGTTCAGAAGCTGTTTCATGGTCACAGTGAATTGTGATCAAAGCAGCTTGAAATTTTGTCATGGTTTGGTGATAAATTTATGACCCACCTTTCATTGGAGACCTAATGAGCCAATGACAATGGACCTGCAAGTTTGGAGGGGGTCATTTTTCAGAGTTCAAGCCTCTGGCAAACAGCTCACTGTGGTTCTAATAAAAATTCATCCTAAGCATAATTGAGCACTCTCTGGACAGCTCTAAAGGTTGAACTGGGAAGTCAAGGGACAGCATTTCTGCTGGCAGATGTTAAAAAATTACTTGATCCTTTTTGTGCTGGCTAGTTTATGACTTTCTCACTTGCGGAAAATGGGAAAAAATACTGCCCTGACAAAGGGAGCTCCCAGCGGCCACATCCAGGAGATATTAGGAGAAAAGTAAGGTCCAGTCTCAGCCTTTTTTATCTTCAAGTTACAGATTCCCTTGGGCTAGCAGAGTATCTTCCGCTGGCTTAGCTCGTTTTGGCTCTTCATAAGTACAAGTGGAGAGAGTTTATTGGTGATGACTCACATCTTTCCAAACCGTATTATGAAGACTTCACATCAAAATTAGGAAACTGAGTTTAAAGGAGACAGACGTAATGAAGCATAAAGGACTATTAGTCTTTATCTTCTCTTTCTTTAGTCCTTCAAAACAAGGTGAAAAACAGTTTTCTGAATTAAAGTATACTCCCATGCAGAAGTGTAATCCTGTCCAATAGATCCTGTGTTGTCTGTGTGCTACTGAGCTTAAGCCGAACTTGTGGCACTAGTGTATAGAACCTTGCCTTATATTTCACGTGACAGCACATTGCACAAATCCGTTGTATGCTATGTCTTAATCCTGGTTTTGTATCAGGTGTGTGGGTTTCAGCCTTTAATTTCATTGTGTGTCCCTTTGCCCTTTTGCTACTAGAGAAAGTGAGCAGCCTTCAGAAGCTATGGTGTGTGGTTTTATGCAGTGCTTTCCTGTCTCTACGTGCATGTACGTGTGTGTGCATGTATGGTCTTTTCCCTGCCATTTCTCCCTTAGTGTTTTTATGCTGAGCTGTAGTCTAATGTACTTTAAGGAAGGAAGATGATGTGATTATTAGGGTGAATAGAAGCCAAGGTGTTGCTGCCTTCTAGTGCTGACGTTCTTGTAAGAGAGAATTCAACCTTACCGACCTGAGTATCCCTTCTTTACGCAGTAGATCCCATGCCCAGAGAAAAATGGTTTTGTAGGCAATAAGAAAGGGTTCTGATGTAGAACAAGCAGAAAAATTGAGATTCTGACTTCCTAATGATTTCAGTCGGGATCTAGGCATGTAAAGATAGTGCTCATTATGTTGTGGTGTGTATGCTTAGGGTAAGACTTCACACCGAGTCTTTTTTCGCATCCAAGGATTTAATATTTTCAGTAATTGCCTCCAGACTACTCCTGTAGGGGCAGTAGAGCTGGGACAGATATTAGCAGCATGAGGAAATTGCAGTTTTGAAGAGAAGCAGATTTTTTTGCACTTCCATGGCTGTGAGCACCGTACTGCTACTGCTGCATGTCAAGTAGGTTTTGGGGTGTCTCTGGACCTGGGCTTGCGGCAGGTGGAAGGAAAGCCTGGGGAGTGAGCTCTGTGTCACTGGCAGGATTTTAAGCAGCACCTGCAGCAGCTCGTGCTGGAAAACTTGCTTTATCCTTAGAGAGCCATCAGATGCTTTTGTAGTTTGAGGCACAATCGGTGGAATTACAGAAATGTGCATTTAGTTGGGAAGAATGAGGCAATAACAATTAAGGAAAAAACCCACTTGCCGATAATCCTCTGCAAGTATAGCATGAAAGGAAAAGATTTAATTCCTATTGTAGCTGAACTGATTTCTAGTGGTGCAAAGCAGAGCTGTTAGACTGGGTTTGGAGGCAGCCAGAACCTCCAGGTGAATTAGTCAAGCTTTTTCTGCTTCTTTGGACCAAGAGACGCATTTCAAACAGGATTTAAAAATTAGGAGGGTGTGCAGTTGTAACAGAATAGGCATTTCTAGGTATTAATTAACTGGTTTGTTCTGTGCGTTTGTCAGCTGTGTTAGAAAACCTGGGACTGTGAATTCAGGGGGCACACACAGATGCTCAGCCACTGTGGTGATGGATGGGTTTGTGTCAAATCACAGCAGCTGCTCATAACTTTTGGGAAGATGGACAGAGGAAGATTGTTCTGAGTTTACAGCTTGTGCTAAAGAAACACTTGGTACCCAAGTGCATCATTACTTGTGTTGTGGTGGTGTGGTTGTGCTAAGAGCCACACAGACATAAGCCAAAAATATTTTCCTGCTTTCCTTTTCAGGTAAATGCTTGTATCCAGATACTTTCTGGAGCAACAAGTAGGGCTGTTGCACAGGTATAGGTTGGCAGCAAGTTTCATTCTGTGAAGTAAAAGGAGCTTGGAATCTTGACTCATTAAAACCATGGTTAGTTAAGGGACAGTAATGTTCATTGTGTCATTCACAACTTGGTCCCCTTCCATTAAAATAGCAACCTTAAACTTTATGGTCTATTGTAGGTGATAATCTGTAGTTAATGACTGGATAATGGCATTTTTGTTGGTATGTCTGAGGATAAAATTCAAAGCCAAACAATTTCCCTCTTAAAAGTAATTCAGTGTCACAGCGGTGCAAAATGACGGCGGTGTTATCGGCCAGTCCACATTCCTCATCAGTTACAGGACTGCTCATACCGCTTTTGCAGCACATCATAAAGCCTTTGTTCCCAGCTGATCAAAGCACCACTTCACAGCGAGGAGATGCTGTCAGCCAGCAGAGATCCTCGGGCACTTGTGGCTGTTCCTTCTTGCTTCTCTGCAGCGGGGAGCATTTGTGGCTCCGATTGTGTCTGCGAGAGGCACAGCTGGTTTTGCTCAGAGAATACAATTACACTCTCGATGTCTGGCAACAAAGGCATTAAAAAGAAAGAGCCGCATTCAGTGGCTTCTGGAATTGAGCTGATCGCTGTCCTACCACTGGGCACGCTCTGGTGCAGCGGACGAGCTGCAGATTTAACACCTCGGGACGTTTCTGGTGAGCTGCCGGCTATCGCACTCGTGTCTGACCCCCAGCCCTGCCGCTGGCTGAAGTGCTGCTTTCCCGGTGTCCTTCCCTGCTCCTCTCCTGGGCGCCGGGTAGTGCTGTGCCCTGGTCCTGCCGCAGCAGGCAGGGCGATGTGCTCAACGGTGGCAAATGCCCCCTGGTGAAATGTGTGAGATTGGCTTCATTTCATAGCTACTTAGATACCTGGTGTGAAACTTTCTCAAAGGGGTAGACTGGTGTGGAAAAGATCCACTGCCTTTACCCAGTATGGCTGAATGGAGTTTACAGATCCATGATCATAATTTTCCGTTGACTTTTTTTTTTTTAACCCTAGCCCACTGTCAGAGTCAGGTTTTTACTGAAAGAACTGAAGCAATCACCAGCCCTGACTGTCCAGCACCTTTTCCCCACCTCAGCTCTTGCAGCTGCAGTATCCAGGTGGAAGATGGCTCCCCGGCCACACAGGAGTTCCTGGAGACCTTTAATGCAGAGACACACCCAGGAGATGCCCCGTGATGTCCTTAAGGTAAGGTGAGGTTTACTGCCTTTCGGCACAGCTTTTCAGAGACAGGCCCAGTCCTTTTAGTGCATCTTCTTCAGCTTGTTTCACCATGTTAATTTACAGTTTTGTTTCCCTGTATCTCTCCTCAATCATTTTTTCTTATCCCTTCAGTTTTGTTGTTTGTTTTTTTTTTTAATCTTTCAACACCTCTTTTGGGAAATTCACCCAAAACAAGCACACGTGTATGTGATGACTTGATAGATCAGTGATGCTAGGGGAGTCAGTTAAATCCTTTGCATTCAATTTGCTTATCTATAAAATGAACCCAGTGATCGCTTCCCAGGAGTTCCGTAGCACTTGGGATGCTTCTCCTATGGAGAAAAGGCAGCTGCGATGAACCATCGCTGACCACCTGCCTGGTTTTTTAAACTTTGCAAAAAGAGACCATTCAGGTTCAGAGAATCACTGATCTAAAATCAGTGTGTTCTTATAAGCCTCATAGGGGAAGGAGTAAAGACAGTTTGTTTGCCTTCGCTCAGTCTTTTCAGGTTAAAACACCCAAAAGCAATTTGACCCGTTCTGTGGAAAGACTTTGCCTGGAAGAGTTGAGACACAGGCTAGTGTTGTGAATACTGCTTTAATTACTGATATCTTGGGAGTGCACACTGGGTGGAAGATGAAATACACAGCAGCACGTGGGTGGGAGACCTCTGTGTAGTCCTCAGTCCAAACTATTCAGAATACTTAATTCTGGAAAGACCTGAATAGTGACCAAATGAGGCTTTGAAACAGTGGTTTCATGCTTAGTTTTCAGTAGATCTGCGTGCATGGGAGTGAATCAGTGTAGAGAAAGGGAGAGTTTCCCCTAAAAGCCTTCAGCAGTAAGGCATTGACACTGAAGGGGAAGATCCCGTTTCCTGGTGCTCTGCAGGTTTGCCGTGTCCCAGTCCTGAAGCACCACCCCATGGTCACATCGCACCAGTGCAAGCACAACACAGTCCGGGCGGCTGCCGTCCTCTCGTGTGACATCGGGCGTGAGCTCCCTGACACAGGTGAACCACGGTGCTGTCAGCCCCTCTGGACTTAATGTCTCCAGGATTAAACACGTAGGTGCCTTTTCTCTTTAACAATCACTGTTGCTCACGTAGTGTAATTGTGGGGTGTATTCAGCACCCTGAATTTGTCAGCAATTGGCCTTTCTCGGAGATCCTCCTCAGAGTTCTGTTTCTGCGTGTGTGTGTGTGTGTGTGTGTGTGTGTGTGTGTATGTGTATGTGTATGCCTGTGCTGATGCTCTTTGACCACTGCTGCTCAGAGATTTGCTTGTAATTATGTTGGAAGAAAAGAACAATTTTATGAAAGATTTCAGAAGATCAGTGTAGCGAGAATTTTTAATGCTCTTTCATTTGTTACTACATCTCTCCAGGGAAGTTGAACTGGAAGCCTTGGTCATTGCTGCTGATTGCTGCATTTCAGACTCAGAAACATCCTGCTTCCCAGCAGACAGTTTCAGAAGATACTCTAATCTGTGTGTACTTACAGCAAAATTTAAAAATCGCAGTTGGGCGATTGTGCTTTAGGAAGGCACAGGCTTCCTTCAAGTTGTGTTGTAGTCTGTCTGATGTGATAGTTGCACGTAATTACTGGTTATTGTTTATGTACAAACCCAGAATAACTGGAGTGGTGTGAGGGTTGGTGTTCAACACAAGCAGCCGATAGCAGGGGGCATGTGGGAATGGATAGGTGAAGGCTGTGAGATGCGCTGACCAGGGTGGGCCATCGCTGCTGGTGACAAGGGGGTGTAAGTGGAGGAGCTGCTACACAGGAGATGCAAATTAGCCTCCAGATTTGAGAAGGGGAGACTCTCTCTCATTCACAGCCACCCACTCTGGCCTTTATTAACACCCACATTTGGATGTACCCGATGATGGTGTAAGAGTTATTTACCTTTTCCCACTCTGAAAGTCATGCAGCAAAGCGGTTCATTTAGTGAAGACATTTTAAGCAAATAAAAATCTAGTTATTGTTTTCCTCTTATGAAAGAGGAAGTAAATGTGTAACTGATGATGTTTTACTGTAACTAACTCTGTTTGATGTGGATTTAGTGTGACATTTTATTTCTATTCATGGTTCTTGGAGAATTCAAGTGATGTGAAGTCTTTTGTTACGGAGTGCCAAAAGGCTGCTTCTTGGAACAAACCGATGGCAAAGTGCATCAGTCAGTGCTCCTGTTTGTCGACTTGAAAAGCACTGTGTAAATATTTGTATTTAAAACATCCGTTTTGTGAAGACAAGGATAGAGGTTGCAGCATGAGAAACATTTTCTTCTGCTTGGTAACTGTTCCGTTTCCTGGCAAAGTGCATTTTGTAGGTGTAAGTTGGAAGATGTTTCAATTTCTGCCATTCTTTAAAATCCCTAAAGAGTACTTAAAAAAAAAAAACAAACCCCAAACTTTAAAAAGTGTGGCAGTGCCCTTTGAAATAGTGTAGAGTCTCCCAGCAGTTTTATAGAACTACCAAAGCAGCAGCATCATAGGAGAACTGTATGGTACCTGTGCTCTGTGAGTACTGGTACAATTTAGTGTGCTGCTGCCATTCCCTGACGCCCACAGTTGAGTCCTGCATGACTTTTCACCCTGCTACCTTTTACTTTTTTAAGTATAGTTTTGAACTGCTCTAGCTGTTGACTGTGGGCAACCTGCAGACATGACGGCGGTGCTGTTACGTGCGTTATGGGGCCTGAGGAGACCACCAGCAGTGCTGGAATTCAGTCCCAGTGTGAAGCCCCCTTCGGCCCCAGGAAAGGTTGGTAATAACTGCAAAACCAGCTCATTGCTGAATGTTCATTTTAAAATCAAATGACCACCTTTATGTCCTGATTTTCAAAAAAGCAAGGGCTACAATTACTGTTTAACAGGGAGGAACAATAACAAAACTAAAACTTACGATAAGCACACGGTGTGCCTGGCACCCCCTGCAGTTATTAACGTTGACCTTAGATTTCTCTGTTAAATTGGTCACTGTTTTAACACGCCTTGGTTTGCCCGAGGCTCCCTGTTGCTGCCAGCGTTGCAGACCGATGCCAGGAACTCAGCTCAGTTCCCCTGGAAGAGAGTAAAAAGCTGAGCCTTTGGTTTATTCCAGCTCTCTTTTGGAGAATTCATAAATAACCAAATTGTTGTTGCTTTTAAATTGCTTGCATTGTTTCTGACAGGAAAATTGAACCACGCTCCCCAAGTATTCGTGAAGGGAAAAAGCCACCAAATGTCTTATTGCAGTGCTGGGTTGGGGATTTTTATTCTTTTAAATGCTTGAAGTGCATTTACTCTGTAAAATTACTCAAGAGCCAAGACTGAGTTTTGGGATAAACATTTTACAGTGTAAAAGCGTAACTGTTCCTCTTATCTTTTAGATTATAATATCCATATGTTCCCATTACCTTAATTTACATTCAGAACAAATACACTTACTCCGCTATGCCCAAATTCCTAAGCAAAACTGTCTCTCTTGATTACAGAAGTTTTCCAGAGGATGGATGTAATACTGAGTAATGAAAATTGTACTCTAAATCAAATATTCATTTGCAAGCAATTTTACCATTCCAAAACAATCTCGGAATTGCATTTAGAATCATTAACTTAATTTAATCCATAAAAGCATAATAATTCAGTGTCCAAATCTTAAAATGTTTAACGGTTATTGCTGCCTTCATTGTTTTGCAGTTTGTGGAACTGTGGAGCTCACACATGGAAGGGAGCCAAGCCCGGAGCATTTCCCTGGCAAGTGATGGTAATTACAGCACAAGGAGGATGAGGAGGAGGTGGTGATTCTCTTTCAAAAGATAACTTGCTTCTAACAGCTGCTCCTGTTGGAGCTGATCAAAGAGACCCCTCAGCTTGGAGGATTAAATTGGGGATTTTGAACAAACGCTTACTTTGCTACAAGAAAAATAAGACGCCCAGGCAGAAAACTTTATTCATGAAGGTTATAAAAACGATCTTGTCAACTTTGCCAGCGATATCGCATTGGTTGGACTGGAGCATGAAGTCTCTGTTAGTGCCAATCGCACCCGTTTGTTTACCAGAAGACGACAGATTGCAAATGAGAGCAAATGATGGGGAGAACCAAGACGAGGAACTCCTGCGGTGCTGCTGCGGCACCCACAGATGTGTGCGCAAATAAACCCTTCAATGGAAACCCCTTCTGGTGCCAGCAGACGGCTGAGGGGGCAGGAGCAGCACAGGGGCTCTCAGCTGCTCAGGCCAGCACACGGCTCCTGGGGTTCACACAGTGCTGGTGTGGGGAGCACGGGGTCTGTATAGGAGTCACCAGCTAAAGCCTTATTGTAAATTGTTAAAATACTTTTATTTGTCATTCCTACCAGCTATTACCTAGATTCTATTAATAGCGAGAGTATTTAAATACTTAGCAACACTAAATCCTTAATGTTTATTAGGCTTTACAGTTCTTTTAATTTAAAAGACAAAAAGCCTTGAGTATCTAAACACAGTATTGATTTGTTTTCTGTTCCAGCAGCTGTTACTCTAATAGTTTGAGTCGTGCTGTGGGCTGGTGTAAGTCTGCACCTTCACACAAACACATCCAGTGAAAGCCTGCAGAGCACCACGGTAGCAGGGTGGTGGTAGTTGCCGAGTGGCAGCAGTAGCAGCTGCATGCTGTGTTTGGGGGTATTTACATACACTGCTGTGCACCACACAGAACCTCCACAGGGACAGCTGTACAGACCCTGCTTAAAGACTTTTTCGGAACATAATTTTTTGAAGAACGAGCTTTCACGTTCAGATGTTTAATTTCAGTATAATGGACTATGCTATTTATCCCCTCACAAGTACATAAACTTCCTTTCTTGCATCTTTTTTTCTTTCATTAGAATTTCGCTTTCTAGAATAACTGAAAATGAAGTATCTTTTTAAAAAAAGAAGACTCCAAACACTTCAAGAGGTTTTCAATAGTTTATTTGCTCACTTAGAAACACTAATGTATGTAAAGCAGTTAGAAAATAGTATTAAAACTTGAAAAATAATTTCAAAATTTTCAAGGATTTTGTTTGGAGGGTGAAGGAAGGCTAAAATAATTAGCAAAGACTACTCAGTGCTGCCAACCAGCCTGTTAAAGCCTAAACCTGGACAATTGAAAGAAAATGAAAGCCATGCTAATTACAAAAACTTACCATGAAGTTCCTTGCAGGGGGTCACAGTTAGTCTTTGGAGGTCCAAGAATTTTTAAGTGTTACTCAGCAGAAGTAGCTGGTAATAGTGCAAGTGCTAAAATGCAAAATTCAGATGGTACAGAGTTTGGAGATTATTCTGAGAGGTGCAGGAAATAAATAAAAAAAAAACTAAGCAACTTTTTGCAGTGGGATATGAACAGCAAAAGTGTGGGATTGCTTTTCAGCCTGAGTGCTCAGAACCCCCCTTTAAGATGTACCTGGAGACCCAGCTGATTTTTGAATACTGCAAGTGGAAAACTAATGGTAGTGCAGTTCTGCCTGCTATTCACATGGCTGTCCGTTCACAAGCCTCAACTTAATGCACAGTAATGAAGATACAACTTAAGAAGTAGGTTAAAAACTGTGTAAACAGCCATATTTAGAACGTTCACAGCTACAGCGTAAGTAGTATGGCTTATAAAAAAATCTGAATTGAGCTTCAGTGGGCTTCAAGTGCAAATACATTAAAAAAATTCCTCCCACTGCCAGTGGAGGTAATCTCCCACCAGACCCTGCTGAAACACCCTGCTCTCTGTTAAGAGGCTGCCTCGTAGTTGACATTTCTGCACCTGTAATAAACTTAGTTCTTCAGATTAAGACTGATCAAAGCCTCTGTACATTCACTAATGCTTCAGACAGCTGGAAAGTCTTTCCTGTCGTTAAGCATGAGTTTATAGCTTTCTTCTGGGCTAGAAGTGTTGCAGAACCCTATTTCCCATGAGTGGACTGGTCTAGAAAGAAGTTAAAAACACAGATCCCCAGAGGAGATGGCTGTGGACAGAAACACATCTTGACAGTGTTTATTTCCCCCAACCCACTGCTGCTGAGGAACACCAACTGCTAAAAGAATAAGTAAGTAAGGTTCCTTGGTATAGATGATCTGGAGGGAACTGCTTACCATTCTAGGTGCGGGCACCCACGCGTGTGGGAAGTGGATTTTAGATCTACACGTATCACTGAACAGTGCAAAGGTACAGTGGATTAAAGCTGGGTGTCGGGAATCGATACGTGATGAGTGGTGGCTCCGTTTGACTTGACAACTTTTAGAGCATGCTTATCTGAAACAAACCGAATTACTGCAAAAAAGCTTTACAGAAGTTCATCTCAAAAGGGTAAAATTAATTAACTGCTATGAATTCTTTGCATTCAGAGCTGCAAAACAAAGACACATATTACTTAAATCAGTTTTATTTAAGAATTTCCTACAGTGACAAATCTTATAAAAAGCATCCAAACACGAAACTGCAGCAAACAGCATTCTTATGGATATCTTACAGACAGTGGAACTTCCACCCTGAAGAGGCACACTGAGCTCGCCAGTGATCTCTGCTACAAGAGCTACTGCAAAGCACACCACAAGCTCAATGTTCTCATCACAAACCCCACCATCTTCAATTCACATTGCCACACTTACAGATCATTAACAGAAAAAAAACACACACCATACAGCATTCACAGCAGTTGACATAAGGGAAAAAAAATACAAATATTCATTTCACATAACACATTCAACTAATTGATTAACTAGGTATAAAACCCACTTAAAGTCTTCCACATATGGATGTCCTTCGAATGCAATAAACACTCGTACTTTATTTGCTAGCATTGCTCTCCGCACACTCTCTCACCAAAGCCACAGGATCGAGAGACATCTCGCCAAGAAAATAAAATCCCATAATGCACCACCAGGTCTCTGCATGCGCTCTCCTTTATCTCGCACATACCAGCCCTCTCATGCCTCGGCACCACCAGCAATCCCACACAAGGTTTCAAAAGTTCAGACAGCCTTCTGGTTCCATCTCACAGCCTTGCGTTCACAGCGTTGATACGACTCCATGAAATAAAGAGTAGCGGATAAAAATGGAACACCCACCGTCTAAGACGCAGCATGTGCGGTGTGATGAAGTATTCTTGGATGAGAAAGCATGTAGACAGAAGTATTCCTAAGGCAGAATATTTACAGCACTGCTTTCAATGAAGTGCTTCTTCCATACACATTTGAAATGAGATGAACTGCGGAGATTAAATGAAGCCTTCATATCGTACTTTAGTATGGAGGGGAGACAGTGTTAAAAAGAAAAAAACAAAAACAGAACAAAAACGACACTGTGCTCTCCAGCTGGGGCACTTGGAGATTCTTATGGTGGGATCAAATTAAAAACAAGAGGGAGAGAATGCTGTTTCTGACCAATGATTTCCATTTTGAACATGCAAAGAATTCAGGTAGCCAGGAAACAAAAGGATAAAGTATTACAGAAGAAACCTTTCCTATCGATTGTAGTGTTAGTTTACCTATCGGGCAAACAGCAGTCCACTTCCAAACATTCAGTATTCCAACAAGAGATACGTAACAAAACTTATAAAATTCCTTTTACCTTTCTTTTCTTTTTCTTTTTTTTTTTCTTTTTTAAAAAAGAAAAAATGTCAAAAATATTGCTGAATATACTGCACACTGAACAAACTTCTGGAAAACTTTAGTATATATGTAATTTACAGTATACTTACCATGAGTTAGAAAAATTTGATTTCCCACCATAGAGTCAGTATCAGAGCCCACTGCGTCTACATTCCCCAGCCTGACGATTTGGAATCCATGCTTGAACCAAAGCCTCCGTTAAACCCACTGCTGGAGCCCGCGTTTGAGGCCGACCCCCAGCCTATCGCCGCCCCCGAGTTGGAGCCGCCATAGGAGTTATTTCCTGAGCTAAAACCCTGGTTCTGCTCTCGCTGCATGTTGCCTTGGGGCTGGTTGTTTCCCGACGGCCCCGACTGGTTCTGCTGACTGGCCAGCATGCCCATCATCCCCCAGCTGCTCTGCAGGGCTGCCTGCGCTGCTGCCATCATGGCGGGGTTGATGCTAAAGGCTCCGAAGTTCATGCCCCCACCCATGTTACTGCCCTGGTTGTTACCCAGTCCTCCCCCACCTCCTCTGCTGTTGCCAAAGCCCCCTTGATTCCCAAAACCTCCCGGATTACCACCAAATCTTCCACCTCTCTCTAACTGCCTATTGCTATTGTGCTTAGGTTCAGCATTGGATATATGTACGCTGATTCCTTTAATGATCAAGTCCTCTCCACAAAGAGACTGGGCAACCTATAAAAAACAAGGGATTGATTAAATATATGTTAGACTTCTTGTTTTAAAAATGTTGTTAGTACAAGACAAAAAAACCCCACATGATCCTGAGCAGATATGTAACCTGCAAAGGAAGCGTATGCATATACTTCATCCAATATGGAGTGTTTTATCTTTGCATTCACTACTACACTAACTGCAGTACAAAAACCCAAGTGGGCAACAGCATCAGAACAGTGTAACCTTGGACAATTTCAGTAACTCAAGTCAATACCAGTGGAATTCTCACAACAAGCAAGTGTTTACGTGTCGTTCCAGAAATAATGCTTCGTGAACCTACAGAAATGTAGGCTGTCTAAACATGAAGCTAAAATGTTCTAAAACGTACCTGATCATCTGCAAACGTAACAAAAGCAAAAGCTCGGAAGGGTTTAGGAATGAAGACATCTACCACTTCTCCGTATTGGGCAAAGAACTGTCGGAGCTCATCTGCTGTCATGTCCTCAGTGCAGCGACCAACAAACACTTTTCTGCTACGCAAAGGTTCATCAGGACTTTGCTGGAGAATGGGAGAGGAAAAAGAAAAAGATCACAACTATCCTTAAGAACTGAGTTACCTTCTGATAAAAGGCCCCTTTTCATCTAGCCTGTTCCCAGTAAAAACTGCTTATATACACACAGAGGATACAGAAGCTTCAGGTTCGGCTTTGAATTCAGAGACTCATTCTGATCTTCCCTAGGTATGTTATTCCACCTGCTTTATTCTCCATTTATTCATACAGCAGACAAGTTCAACAGGTACTGCTGGCCATTAAAACACACTATTTTCCCATTTCCATCTGTACTTAATTCCCTCACAGCACCAGCTTTTCCCAGC